ATATTGATGTTGCCTATAGATTCGTACGGTAATTGCGTCATAATAAGCAAGGCTACAACTAGTGTTTACGCATATGCTAACGAAAGTGCATGGAGAAAGAACATTCTTTACTATTGAAAAAGATTCTTGTGGGTGCGCCTGCTTCAACATGCAAATGGCCACATTCTTTGTGCACCAACTATAAACAGTTTTCGCAATCGCATTCATTTCCTTATGCCCCTTGGACCTGACCGCATTCTGCGCTTTTTCCAAGGCAAAAACTTTGGCCACCCTCAAATCTTTCCAGTTGCACAAAATAAACACGCACGATGTCAAATTCATGTGCCCGTACTGCTTAAAAAGTGCAAGACGACTGGGGTTTGAAGCGGCACCAGGATACATTTGCCGAATCCCGCATTCGATTCAGACACAGGACTGACCCTGACTCCCACGACACGACCGTGGGGATGATGACAATGGCGGCGGTTGAAAAAGGAGAGCAAGAGATGATGAGGAGGACAAGCAGTGCAGAGGAAAATATTGATGAGGAAAGACCTAGGAAGAAGATGCACTTGGGCCAGAATTAGAGCCATAGAGTCAATCACCTGACAGAGAAGAAGAAACACTCCAGACAAGAGGTATTACCAGTGGATGCCACCACAGATAGTATTGACGAGCTTATTGGGACGGAGAATGTTGACACAAGGAGCACATATGAGGAAGACGTTAGGCAAGTGCAAACGCATAACACGATGCTCCCCTTCCAATGTTCAAGTGGATACGGTGGATGGGGCGAAGTGAAGCCGACTCCAGTGTGTTGCAGATTTCTTTGATCATTTGGCTGATCCGTCTGATAGGAAGCTCAAACCAATGCAGATAATTGGGCAAGAGGGAGCAAATGCAATGAGCCAAGTAAGGCAAACAATGAAAGAGTTCAAAGATTATGAGAGAGTTGCATGTCAAAACTTTATAACCTCAAGCAAAACGAGAATAGCAGCAATCAAGATCATGACACATTGTTCAAAAAGAAGGCCACTTTTGATACGTACGATGCTGTGATGGAATGCACTTCAAGGAAGTGGAAAGCTGGCAGAACACCATACTTGGTGAGTGCAATAGTTCATATTCGCCCGCCCAAAAAACATTGAATTGAAGAAGCTTTCACAAACGCGGTTACAACATGGGCAAATTAAGTTAGCGCCCAACCGATAAGAGTGAAAGTCTGCCCCATACACAAGTCTAAGGTACAAAATATATCCGCTCCGCAATGCACGCAGATCTTGTCGAGAGCCTTCTGACTGATCACCGATGGAAGGATGAGGTATTGGCTGTTCTTCGATAACGAGAACGGTGAACCAGATCCTTTTGCACCACCCTCCAACGATTTGAAGCAAAATTGGGGATCTCAATACAGGTTAGCATATCGTGAGACGTACAAGAAGCTGATCACCAAACCTGACAAGCAAATTTTGTGGTCCCTTACCTCTTTACATTGATGGGGCTGTTAACAGGGCAGTTTGACAAGCTCCAAGTTACCGCATTGAAAATATCCCTGGCATCCTGAACCGTAGGGCCAGGGACAAAGAACATTCATGGAGGCCCTCGGATTGGTGAGCAATTACACAAAAGAAGATTCAAGAGGACAAAAGATTTTCACCGGTCGGGCCATGTTGCGGCCGAGGATGCGGCACAGGGAAGCAAATGCAAATGATCAGGAAGCAGGCCAGTACACCGGAAAGGAAGGGGATCCAGACAAGGCGGGCCGACTATCATTTCATCACTGGAGGAGCTCCTAGAAGAGTGTAGATGAGCTTAATCAAGAGGGGATGGTCATGGTTATTTGGTACAAGGGCAAATTCTTACAAGGACTGTGAGCTCGTCTTCTTTATCCCTTCGTCAAATGTGATGGGGATATGAGGGTGACAAGTTGTGCCTTTCTTTTCGGTCCAAAGAGCCAAAAACATCAAACAGTTTCGCTGCCCGTCCCATTTGACGCAAAGCTGAGTTAATAGTAGGCACCTGCATCGGACTGTAGAGGCTCTTGCACAAGACCATCACGCACAAGCACACTGGTAAATTGGGTGGCTAAAATGCGCTTCTTAGATGCCCAGTTTCCAATGCCACCTCCAGAAAACATAGTTGCACCCTTGAACATTTGAAGCATTGAAGTCACAGACCCGGTTTGCCTGCAATGAAGAGACAGTGTGAATTAGATCTCCAGGAAAACTTTCAGAATATAAGAATCCATGCGCTCTTAATAGAACTTACCAGCCAGACAAATCACCATCAAATGCTGTTGCACCATAAAATACTCCATACATTTGAGTCAAAGACTGGGTTTGCCTGCATAATCCAGAAAGTTGTGAATCACACTGAGAGTTGGCTGAGCAAATTTCTGTTTCCGCCACCATCAACTTACCAGGTTGAAAGATCCCCATTGAAAGAAGTTGCACCAAAAAATGTTTCCGCCATAGTGTTGACGCGGCTTGTATCTGTTTTGTTTTTAGTGCATAGTGCAACAATCATTGTGAACATCAAAATGGATGGTTTCAAGGAAAGAAGAGCACAGCATGTACTTACCCCAGGAACTGATATCACCATTGAACGATGTTCCTTTGAAGGTCCCGATCAAGGATGTTACAATGCTTGTATCCCTTTATTCGGCAGTCAGATTTCCTTTTGTGTTAGAATATGAAACAATGAGCTGCCTCCACAAGAAGCAATGAATTCTTACCAATTGGATAAATCAGAATTGAACCCAGAACTCTCAAACAAACTTGCCAAGTCAGTCACACTTGATACAACCCAGTTGTTCAGTGGCACATTGAAAGCAGCTGCATCTGTGTACATGCAAGAAGATAAAGTTTTGTTCCCATCAAGAGTGATTAGCATTTTTAAAATCACGACAACGTGGACTTACTTAGGAAAACAGAGTCCATGGAAACTCATACAGACAAGATGAAGAAGAAGCAGCAGCTTGAAATTGGACTTACTTAGGAAAACAGAACTCATTGAAGTAACCCCACTGACATCCCACATGCTGACATCCCCATTGAATGTAGCCACATTCGTAAGACCACTGATCAAAGAGTCTTTTGACAAATTCATGTGAGCTCCAAGGATCGATTAACGGGCAGACATAATCATCAGGCTCACATACCAAAGTTTTCCACTGCTTGCACATTCCATGATTGAATGGAGCCTAGAATTTAGGAGCAGAAACAAACAAGATTAGACATGCTACTTCAGTTGAACACTATGGGCCAATTTCTTTACCAAAAGGACCTGTGGGTGAGTAGTCACCCTGTTCCAGGGCTGCAATCAAAGCATCTTTGTCACCAAAGACTACATGTGGTAGAAACAAAATTTCATAAATCCTTTAGAAAAGAGACATGAACTTGTGAGGGCGAAAAGCATAATATGACATACCTGGTGTTGGAGCCGCGGAGGGGATTGATGATGGTATTTTGGAAGGGGTTTCAGTAGGAGATTTGGTAGGTGCATTTGTTGGTGCTAAACAGACATGACAGAAAGGACCTTTTGGACTTGCTTCAAGGTCAGGGTTAGCTGTTAAGGGACAGTTTGTGCCAGTAAACATGTTTTCCACATTTGCAGTTGCTTGAATTTTGTTTCCCCAAGTGCAGAGGCTGTGATCGAATGGAGCTCGAACAAACAAGTTAAAAAGCCCATTTGTTGAAGAGATGTCCCAACTTCAAAAAAGCAAACGTTGAAATAATTGACTTCCGTGTACAATCATAGATTTGACAGCAGAGCTCTTGACCTTACCTTGAAATATCTTGATTGAAAGATGAATCTCTGAATGCTGTCTGCATAGCAGTAACCTTTGAAATATCCCTGGATTCAAAAGGATATTAGCATTACAGACATCAAACAAGGGAACCAGTTGTTTGCAAATGCACACATACCAATTTGAAAGGTCGGCATTAAAGGCAGTTGCACCATCAAATGCTTCGCCAAATCGCAAAAGCCTTTTACAAAACAATTAGATGCTGTATCATTCACACTAGCATGAGTAAGATAGAAAATTAGACTCACTTTGACATGTCCCAGTTTCCAATGCCACCTCCAGAAAACATAGTTGCACTCTTGAACATTTGATACATTGAAGTTGCAGACCCGGTGCAATACATGTACACAGCTCTTAGCCTTATTCGCGACTCGATCCTAGATAGGGTTTGAGTTCGACTCATGACTGA